TCAGTATTTCTCAGAGGGCGGTCTTCAAATATAACTCGTTTGAAGTAATGGTGCTTCATATAACATTATCCAGTGAAACAATTGTTAATGATAAATCTCCTGTGATGTTTGTACTGGCTACTGTAATACAGGCCACCATACAGACTTTATTAAAGAATTTGCTGATTTTATATCAGAGTTAGTGCTGGCTGCAGATAAAGTTTTAATTGTTGGTGATTTTAATATCCATGTTGATAATGAAAAAGATGCATTGGGATCAGCATTCATAGACATTCTGAACTCTATTGGGTGAATGAAGAGGTATCATATTGATCACAAGTGCAGTATGGAGTATGGAGTAGCTCAGTACTAGGACCGTTACTTTTCATGCTTTACATGTTACCCTTGAGAGATATTATCAGGAAACACGGTGTTAGCTTTCACTGTTATGCTGATGATACTCAGCTCTATATTTCTTCGCGGCCCAGCAAAACATACCAATTTGAACGTCTCCTCCGCATCACCCTGTAAACAGCGTATGCTGTTCTGTGTGTCGTTATTTTTTTTCTTTTGCACACAAAAAGTATTCTCGTAGCTTCATATAATTGCGATTGAACCAGATGTCACATGGATTATTTTACCATTCTCCTTGCTACGTTTCTGGACTTGGTAACATATCAGTTGCGTTGCGGTCTATGCAGGGTCAAACACATCTCAGATTCCATCAAAAATATCTTTATTTGTGCTCCGAAGATGAACGAAGGTCTTACGGTTTGAAACGACATGAGGGTGAGTTATTAATGACAGAATTTTCATTCACTAACCCTTTAATTATTGAACCTAAAACCTCCGCATGTAATAACCTAGAACACTGTCTAACACTTGATGGCTGCTCTGTCAATTCTTCATCATCAGTTAGGAACCTAGGTGTGCTATTTGATAGCAATCTTTCCTTTGAAAGCCACGTTTCTATCATTTGTAAAACTGCATTTTTCCATCTCAAAAATATATCTAAATGTCAAGCAGAAATGTTAATTCATGCGTTCATGACCTCAAGGTTAGACTATTGTAATGCTTTATTGGGTGGTTGTTCTACACGCTTAATAAACAAACTCCAGCTCGTCCAAAATGCAGCAGCTAGAGTTCTTACTAGAAGCAGGAAGTATGACCATATTAGCCCGGTTCTGTCAACACTGTACTGGCTCCTTATTAAACACAGTATAGATTTTAAAATCTTGCTAATTACTTATAAATCCCTAAATGGTTCAGCACCTCAGTATTTGAATGAGCTCTTATTGCATTATAGTCCTCCACGTCTGCTGCATTCTCAAAACTCCGTCAATTTGATTCTTGACAAGAATTGCATTTATTTAGACGCAGAACATCTTTACTTTTCAGACACGATTTCCAAGTTCCCCTCTGCGCCAGGTGCGAGTTAAACAAGCGCAGAAAAGCAACTGTGCTCATAGCTCGTGCTTGATCAAACTGTGCATGTGTAACGCCCCTGTGGACTGTTTATTGTGGTTTCTTCCCCTTTTGTTGGTTTAGCCCGTATGATCATTAAGTTAATTGTCCCATCTGAACGTGGACATCGCTGACAACAACACCAGCCCCATTCCGGACCCTGAGCACAGCCCACCATCTCCCCGCGGTACGGAGTATAAGCCTGAGCCCACCGATGACGGAGAGCCATTTCCCGCCGCGATCAACGAGCCAGAGCAAAGCCAAGCGACTGAGCGGAGGATCGCCTCGGATGTTGAGCCCAACCCGTCAGACCAGGTGCAAGAGCCGGTGACAGTGCCCACCACGAGGGAGCAAGCCGTGGACGGTGTGAGCGCGGAGAGGAGCTCCGCCCCCTGCATCATGGCTGAGGGTGAGCTGACTATGGCGATCCTTGTCGTCCTCGTCGTCCTGCCTGCCTCCACACACCGTGACCGTGCAACATGTATGTATGTATTTGTTATATATGAGTCCCATTTAAGAACATGTCTCTGAAATGCAGTGGTTTCCAGAACTGTCCTGGAGCAGCCCAGCACTGTCTCCCTCATCTAACACACCCTGTTCAACTCCTCAGCTCATTACAGAGTCTTTAAGAGCTGAGGTCTTAAATTCTAATTTAAATTAGAATTTAGTGTTCGATAACTTTATTCAGTTTCTGTATATATCCTACTTGCTGAAGACAGGGGCGCAACTGCACATTTGCCGAGGGATATGCAAGATCAGTGTCGGCACCCCCCTGTATTCTAGTAGCCTCTAACACTAACTCGCGCAGAAAACTTTCTGCAAGTCATTGACCAAAGGCTCATTACTAGCTTATGCATGGAAGGATACAAACTCATAAGGAGTGGAAAAAAGTGACAAAGGTTTGAACCCCCTTCCCCCTTTTTTAATACCATAGGGAAAAGTAAAAAGTAAAAACAAGAAAAAAATAAAATTGTCACATAACATCCTTTTTTTATTCATTGTTATTTTCAAACACATGTACTATTGCTCACTTTTTAGTTAGGTCATTTGAATAAATATATATCATTTGCCTCAAAATTATTAATATTTTTGCACCTTTTTATATAGTAAAATTTATTTTAAAGAACATCTGCATATTTTTTATTTTTATTTTTACTTAAAGGGGTCCTATTATGCTCTTTTACAAAGTCTTGATTTTGTTTTGGGGGTGTACTAGAACATGCTCTCATACTAGGTTGTATTTTTCACATATTTTACATTATTACAACACCTCTCTCCCCAGTCTGGCATGAA